TTATAACATCTAATATTTTTAATCAAAAATCAGAATTTTTTATAATCCTCAGGTAGTGCTCCAAAATGTCACAGGTCGACAATGGATTGCGAGTGAAGCCTGGACAACACAAGCTGCACTTCAGACACTAAGCTTTATACCTTACCTTGGAGGCACACTAGGAGTTGCGATTCGTCGAGGAGACATACCAGGACTCAAGAACTTCCTCTTACAAATACAGCCTGATAAAAATGACAACTATGGAAAAAATATGGTAGAATTGGTTGTGTTTTATAGAAGTGACCCACGAAGACATATCGAATAATGTTTCTGAAAACAGTCTTGTGTTACAGGTTAACCAGTTTTGGGAACACACATTCAAATGTAGATTTAATCCAGCAAATAGAACTGAAGATGAGGAAGTTCTATGCACTGGAGAGGAAGATGTTAGACAGGCAGAAGCTGAGTTTTGGGATCTTTCTAACCTCAGGCCTGAGTACAATGTTTACAAGGCTGTGTATGCGCTAGCATATGCTCTTGATGCCATGCTGCTGTGTGAGTCAGGAAAAGGGCCTTTCAGTGGGAACAGCTGTGCCAATTTGCAAACTCTGGAACCATGGCAGGTGAGATATATGTAAACAGCTGGCAAAAAAGATGATTTAAACACACTACACTATAAGATTCACTGTATAATCATACTCAGAGATTAAAATGAATTGTTTGTGTTAATGTTTGCCTGATCTCGATCACTGTCCTCTTATTTTTTCCTCTCACTCATTTGTAGTTTTTACACTATTTGCAAAAAGTCCATTTCAAGACATCATTTGGTGATGAAGTGTCATTTGATGAGAATGGCGATGTTCCACCAATATATGATGTGATGAACTGGCTGCCGCTCCCTGATGGAAGAGTTCAAGTTCAGTATGTGGGTGAGGTAAAGAGGTCTGCACTCAGAGGTGAAGAACTCACACTTGATGAAAACAAAATCTTCTGGAACTTTGAATCAAAACAGGTTAATTGTTTATTTTAAGACCAGTTCTTGATTGTAAAGCAGATAACTATCCATACTAGATATAATGACAAAATGTTCTTTTCAATCAGCCTCCACGTTCCGTGTGCAGTGAAAATTGTCCTCCAGGTACCCGAGTGGCCAGAARAAAAGGACAACCTGTGTGTTGTTTCGACTGCATTTTATGTTCTGAAGGAAAGATCAGTAACAACACTAGTATGTGTTCTAATAGCTTTGCTGCCCACTGACATGAAAAGATAATAACATAGAACTGAATAACTTTTGTGGTCTAATTGGTTCATAAAGGCTGTCACAGTTAGACAACGTTGTCAAACAAACAAAAAAATGTTAAAATATCTAAACATTTTACAAACACAGAGTTAAAATTTGATGTGACAATGTGATTTTTCAAATCTTTTTCAGACTCCATGGAGTGCTTCAGTTGTCCAGAGGACTTTTGGTCTGGCCCCCAGCGTGACCACTGTGTTCCTAAGATAACCGAGTTTCTGTCCTATCAGGAGCCTCTGGGTATCTGTTTGACAACCACCTCACTGCTGGGAACTTTTATCTGTGCAGTTGTTCTGGGGGTCTTCATCCATCATCGCAGCACACCTATAGTGAGAGCCAACAATTCAGAACTGAGCTTTTTTATTTTACTGTCACTGAAACTTTGCTTCCTGTGTTCGCTGCTGTTCATTGGACAACCCAAACT